CTTACTTATATGTAAGTGTTCTTTGTACACCTGCATACTAGCCCTGTCAGTTTTACACATTGCAAATATCTTCTTCCACCCTGTGACTTGCCTTCTTACTCTCAATGTTATCTTTTGATGAAGCCAACACAATGAAAAAGTAGGCAATAAAATAGTATATTTATTTAGCAAATGTAATAAAATAGTAAATGTAATAAAAAACAAAACTTAGGCCGTGGCTGGTGTGGCTGAGTGGACTGAGTGCCAGCCTGTGAACCGAAAGGTTGCGGTTCTATTCCCAGTCAGGCACGTGCCTGGGACGTTGCAGGCCACGTCCCTCTTTGGGGGAGGGTGTGGGAAAAGCAACCAATCAATGGATCTTTCACACATTAACGTTTCTCTCCCTTCCTTCCCCTATCTCTGAAAGTAAATAAATAAAATCTTAAAAAAAAAAAAACCCACGAAATTTAAAATTTCTTAGAACACCATTCAATCATGAAGAAGTGCATTCTCCCCATACTTTTTAATGTTAGTTACAAAAATTTTCTCAGTTACTTAGTGTTAGTGCCCTTAACAAGGAAAAATGGCTCCCATATGCCAGTAAATGAGTCATTACATGATCCAAAACATCTTAGCTTCCACTGAGCAAAGCATAATTGATTCAATGATAAAGAACAGGCCTATAAACATGTCAAAATTCTTTAAAAATCCGCTCTACAGAAGTCTAGTTTTCAAAGGAACACAGGACTCAAAAGTAGTTCTTTGCAGTTAAAATTTAAATAAAAATATTAGGATTCTTTCTTTTTAAAGATTTATTTATTGACAGAGGGGAAGGGAGGGAGAAAGAGAGAGAGGGAAACATCAATTGGTTGCCTCTCACATGCCCCCGACCAGGGACCTGGCCTGCAACCCAGGCATGTGCCCTGACTGGGAATTGAACTAGTGACTCCTTGGTTCGCAGGCCGGCACTCAATCCACTGAGCCACACCAGCCAGGGCAAAATCCCAGGATTCTTATGCTGTGTTTTGCCCAAGTTTCAAAATGTAGCATCCAGGAATGTATTTAGAGTGACACTCAAACACCAGTCACAACAGTCTAACTTTATGTTAAAGCTTCAGAAAATGATAGTCCTGTCAAGAAATGTGTTTAGCTAAATCGAATCCTAAGGAAAAAAATCAGACAATCCCAAGTTGAGGAAACTCTACAAAATAACTGGCCAGTAGTATTCCAAACTGCCATGGTCATGAAAACCAAAGAAAGGCAGAGGAACTGTTTCAGAATGAAGATGACTAAGAGACATGACAATGAAATGCAGCAATTCGTTTCCTGAGTGTGATGGTTGTATTTTTGAGGAAATACACACTTAATGGTATCGGGGGCACAATGTTAAAAGAAATCCTTTGCACTGTACTTGCAATTTTTCTGCAAGCTAGAAACTGTTTCCAAAAAAAAAAAAAAAAAATTAACAAGTTAAAACTTGGGAGGAAAACAAGTTTCCTCATAAGCTAGATTTCGAGTTTCTCACATTTCAAATTTTAGTCAACTTCCGAAAATAGTGCCAATTTATAGACACGTAAATTTTATTTAAAATTGACAAAACTTGCAAAATGGCCTTTGCCAGTTTAGGGTTTTTTACGCTTTCAAACAGGGCTGGTGCAGAGATCTTCTTCATATGACATCACACAAAACCAGTCATAATTCTTTTAATTCGATAACATTCCATCAACTTTTTGTGCGCTAGTTACTTACGCACTCATACAAAAAACTGGGTGCTATATCCTAAATCCGTTGCGGGTAGAAAGGCTTTCTGTTCACTTCTTTTACAGTATTTCCTGCAAAGCCCTGGCCAGGTGGCTCAGCTGTTTGGAGTGTCATCCCACACACTGGCAGGTTATGCGCTCGATCTCCGTCAGGCCACAGGTTCAGTCCCTGGTGGAGGGTTGGGGGGGATATACCGCAGACAACCGACCCACGTTTCTCACGCTGATGCTTTTCTTTCCCTCCCCCTCTCTAAAATCAATAGATAAAATCTCCTGTGAGGATGTTTTTTAAAAATTTACTGAAAAGCACACAAAAGATACAAAGTAAACAAGTTGTTAAGTGAGAGAAAATAGTGCCAGACAGTGCTCCTCTCTCTAGAAAAACAAAAATACCCCAACACATATTTGTTGAAGAGAATGTCGTCCCCTTGGACCCCCACTGTCTATTGGGCCAAATATTCTTTTCTTCGTATTTCTTTTTGTCCAATTTAAAAGGTTAGACTAATAAATTCTCAGCATCTAATAAAATTTGAAGCTATAAACAATGGTAGAAACTATAGCAAATAAGCAAATGTCCTTTGCTGTCTAAGCCTGGGAATCTATGACTAACTTGGTATGGAAAGAATTCTGAAATGCTTTCAACTTGAGAAATATTCCTGGCCCTGGAAGTCTCTACATTCAGCCAGATCTCCTGTAATCTTGGACTGCTTGAAGAAGACTGATATGAAGGCAGACAAGAGAAGAACTGATAACTCTCAAATGTCTCAGATAAGACAAAACTCAAATTTAGATTAAAACAGAAATCGCAAAACCATCTATGTTAATAACTCAACTGAAGTTCAGATAAGGCCTCTACACATGCCAAGATGCTTAATCCCATACTTAAACCAGTAATTTAAGATGACAAAATAAAAATAGAACCAGAAAGAAAAACTGGAATTACCTATTGAAAACATTAAAACAAAAAACATGGCTAATTTTTGGGAATAATGTCTGACAATACTTTTTGGAACTTACTGGAATTCTCTACATAGTCAATAATCACTCCAGCACCAGTTATAACACTGTTCTCACATACGTTTTAACATTTTCTTCAGTGTCTCCTTTTTCTCCCTAGGAGTGGAACATTCTATCTACTCAGTGTAATGTTCACTCTTGATGCCAGCTATTTCTTTCTGTGGTATACGTCCTCTTTACTTGGAATTTTAACAAGTTTATTTGTAGGCACTTCCCTCCAATGAGCAGACATTAAAGGACAAAAGCATACAAATATCTTAAGTGATGCTTTCATTAAGTTATTACTAACAGTAGTTAAGTTGCTGCAATAATTTTAAGTGTTCTCAGATTTTATACTATATATAGAACACATGAGCAAAAGTCTTACTAGAACTTACTAGCTAGAAATTTAGTAGCTGTAAAACTGGTGAGAGGAAATAAGGACTTAAGAAACTTCTTAAAGGAAAAAAGTTATACCCTCATAGACGACATTGATAGATTTTTAACTTAAGTTTCTTCCTGAGAACAAGTTCGTTAGCAGAAAGTGTTTCAAATGCATGTTAATCGTGGATAAGTACACAGAGCAAGGTTTAGGTAATATTACCTCCCAGAAGTCACACTGCCTTGTCCTGTCGCTATTTACCACTATGAGGTGCAATTTGTATGTCATCTCTTCAATTACCCACCAGTAGCAGTGATTTTTAAAAATCACTCCGGGAAAGATCTCATTTCTCCCTTAATTCCCCTTCAATGTATAGAACAGTAATTTCTATTATATGCTAAGTATCAAAACGAATTCCTGTATTTTTCTGTATCTCTAGGCTCTACTTAATACTGTTTCCTAGCATCTGGCTCAATGCCTATTCAATTAATTCCGTGCACGTGGCGAAGTACTCTCAAGCTAAGAAAAACCGACCGTGGAAACACACCAGTTTTGGAAAATCACTCTTTTTTAGTGTTCGGAGTGACGGCACTGCTACTACGGAGGTAGAAGCGATTCCCAAATCACGTAATTCTAGGCAGTCAGATTCGCAATAATTTTAAAGGGAATTAAATATACCTATCACTTTATAACTTGTTAAATAAGTAATTACTACAACACCGTTTAAAGGCATATCCCTTAAAGCAGCTGTTGTATGACATTGCAACTAAGCAGGACACCAGGAAATCGAAGTCCCGAAGCTCTTACCCCTTCCCTCCCGAGTGTAGTACCCAAACACCCGCAGTCGTCTGCATTTACGTTACGCTCAAGACACACCCCTCGCGATTTCAGGGTGCAGCGATCCAGCTCTGTCTCGTCCTTCCCCGCCTCTGTACTACGCTACCCGACTCTCCATTAGCCCCACGGAAGTCGCCTCCTTTTCCCGGCCAAAGAGCAAGCCCAAAGGAGGCGGCCGACTCGCGGAGTTGCCTGCTTCTCCGCCCCGCGCCAGCTACGGCCCAGCTCCCACTCCGGTCGTCCCTCTTCCCACCCCCAACGGTCCACAGGCCCGGGTCTCACCTCTCCACCCACTCCCTCAGGAAGCGCATTTCCTCAGTGTGCAGAATGCTCGGATCCTGCCTACACATTTTCACGAAGGCCCGAAGCTCGCTCACTTTGCGGGGATCCATGCCGGGAAGTGGCGGGACGCAGCACGCGCGGCTAAGATTGCTAACTCGGCGTGACCGTGTGGAAGGGGGCGGCTGCCGCGAGGCAGAACAGACTAGAACCTCCCCGGCCGCTGGCTCCGCCCACCAACGGTCTCGTGACCCCGGGTCCTGGGCCTGTTCATTTCCACTCTCTCACCTCTATTTCTGCGCATTAGTTAGAACCTTCTAGAAGTGTGGCTGTTCATGCTGTTGCCTGCCTCTGCGTGTACGCTTTCTTACATTCTCAATTCCGAGCCAGTTCTCTGGACGGCTCAACCCCCTACATGGTGCTTTCCAGAAGGCGGAAGGCATCGCCCCTGCAGAGAGTCACTTAGAATCGGACACACTGTGAGTGTAAGCATCAAGTGGGGTACGACACGCAGACGCCCTAAAGGGCCGTCTGGCCAGTGCCGTGGTCACCCAGTGCTCTGGGGTGACGTCAGTGCCTGCGCCGCGTGGGAGGAAAGCCCGGCGAGCAGCGCTGGCCGGAAGGGGAGGGGCGTTTGGCTCGGTTTCCTGGCGACGGAGGCCTGCAGGCTGCCGCTTCTCCGGCTGCTTTTCCGCCTTTCCCTCCCGACGCGTGTGCGAGGCCGGCATGCCTTGGTTACTCTCATCAACCAAGCTGGTTCCCGCTATCGCGAGCGCCCGCAGCCTCTCAGGTTAGACTCGCTCCCACTGTGTCCCCTGAGGCGCCCCAGAGCGATCCAAGTTTCTCAGGCGATCGCTGGTTCGGCGGACCCTCCTAAGGGGCCTCCAGTCCGAAGCCCTCTGTGCGCCCCCCCGGATTTCTTTACCTGCTGCTCCTGGAAAAGGGTGGGCTGTGTGTTCTCTCTTGCATTGAGGTGTCCTGGGAAGCGGAGGTGACTGCGGAGAGAAAAGCGTGGCCGTACCCTAGAGGGACTGTCTTGAAAGTTACTCGGACCTACAGAAGTAGTGTCAGCTCTCACAGTTGCCTGAGTGAAACAGTGTCTGGCATCAAGTAGCCCTTCATTCTGTGAGGTTAATCTAAAATCCTGTTTTCGTGTTTTCAAAGAGTTGACTTGAGAACCGGGTCCAGCATGTTCAAGAAACATGTTCACTGATATAAATCTTTTGAACAGTTTCTCTCGGAAGAGGTAATGTTTGGAAAGCCTTTTTATGTCGGAAAGCTCGACGAGATGGAACCCAGGCACAAGGGGGCCCATGGCGGGGGGGGTGTCTTTTATCACGAGCAGTTGGTCTCATGAACATAAAACCTGGTCAGGGAAAGCTGGATTACGTATCTTTCAGGTGGATCTTCCATTGGGTCATATTTCAGGTTTTTGGGACCATGTGTGAACAATGACTAAACCAGTGCGAATGGTATTTGACATCAAGGCTATGTCTTGGCATGTTTCTGATGCTGGCATACTTGAATTTATCAAATATGGAATGGTGATGAAATCAAGAGTTACTCTAAAAAATAAAAGGTAACCATTGTCCATTGCACAGACCTTGCTCAGCTGCAGAAAGCTGTCCCTTTCCATGAGAGTGGGTGAATGGGTGTGCAATTAGTTGTTCTTTTTTAAAAAATTTATTGGGACATGGGTTAATAAATTATATAGGTTTCAGGTGTACAATTATATAATGAATTATCTTTATATTGTATTGTGAGTTCGCCACCTCAAGTCACAATTAGTCTTAATCACACAGGCTGCAGCATATGATTTAGAGCTGGAACCATCCTTTGCTTGTGACTTTTTTTTTTTATTTGTTAAGGATTTGTGTAAAACCCGATTAGTCAAGGTTTAGGACTAGATGCTATTATACACAGCAAGATCTTTGAAAGATACTCATTAATGCTTCGTTTTGCCTCAATGGAATAAGTGAATTTAATCACCTCTTACATGATCATTTTATGTACCATATACATACTGCTTTTGGAATAAAAATTATCTACTTGGATCTTCACAAGTCCAGTAAGGGCAGATATCCTCATTTTACTGATGGGGAACTGAAACTCACACAGGATCACAGGTAGCAACTCAGGAATTTTAGTTGTATTGACATCTAGTCCTTTTTCTCTTATACACTAGGTCTTGCTGTGGCTTAGTAGGGTCCTTTTGGAACTTTTTACTGAGTCACAATGACTAGTAACTCAAAGGTTATTGAATCTCCACTTCCCTGGAGTTAACTCAGAATTTAGCCAGGGTGATAGATGACACCATAGCAAAGAATGGTGACAGAGTCTTGACTCAAGTGACACGGGAGCCCAAGAAAGGCAGTGATGGGTTGTAAATCTTATGTTGTTCTGGAATTTTATTAAGTTTTAGAATTTGAAAACTCCATCAGCTTGAGGTGCTCATACATATTTAAAACTTTTATTGTCTGTGGTGCTCTTAGTTGCCCTTTTTTAGAAAGGCTGTGACTACAGAGTGCCGTAGGAAACTTTCTCATCTATGAAAGTCGTGCAGCTAAGATTTTGTTGGTAGGCATATGCAGATATTAACATGATCTAGTCATTTGAGAAAAAAACAAAGTAAAGCACTAATGATGTGTAAGTTATATTTTAAAAGACTGTATCACTTAAGACAGATGAGGAAGGGAAATATTGAGAATATTAAAGAATAGAGAATATTTTTTAAAAACCTCTTTGCAGTTAATTCATTCAATAAACATTGAGTACCACATAATGAGCACAGAACACAAAAAAGGTTCTGCGCTCAAAAGAGACCTCCAAAAAGCAAGTAATTGTGATGTAACATACTGAATTTAGTGATAGAGGTCCAGGGGTGGGGAGGAGGAAAACATGATAGATATTTGGGGGGAACAGGGAGGGGCAAAGTGGAAATGGGATCATGCCTTTGAAGACTGGGAGACACTGACTTGAGGCCTGGAAGAGGGCTATCACCAAGCAGACTAGAGTGATGGAGCTCTCCGCAGAGGGAACGCGCAAAGGCGCGGAACTCTGAAACAGTAGCTGTTGCAAAACTTTGCAGTTAATAAGCCTGGAAAAGGCCTTTTTGAAATATGTTCCCAGGCACATTAATAGGTGTCACAACAAAATGGTTCTGTGGTTTAATAAGTAAGGAGAATGCTGCATTTCATAGTGCCGTGGTAAACTATTTCAAAGTCTCTGAGAGGGGAACGTATTTGGCAGTAATTTCCAAACTGTATTTGACCATGGAGTCCTTTTTCTGTGATGAGTCTTGAACTGTGATGAGTCCTATCCCTCGGAACACATTTTGGAGAAATTTGGGCTCAAGAATAAGATGTGTAGGAAGAGGTGGTAGAAAATCAATTTGGAAAGGAAGCCAAGTTGGGAAGGAAGCTGGTGGCTGGTTCATGGATGTCATGTTAAGAAACAATGAGCTTTTTCCTCTAAGCAGTGGGAAACCGTTGAGTAATTTTAAGCTAATGAGTGAGATTATATAAAATTTTTAGTTATCTGTTTAGAGTGGGAAAATGGACTGGAAGGCACATCATTGCATCCTTAAATTTTCAGACACTGATTTTCCCATTTGTTGGAAAATTATATATTTTTCTGCTCTGATTAGTCCCACAGTGTAATAGATAAACTCTACTAAATATCACATTTTATATAAGTACCATTTAAGGTACCCTAGGCTTTTATTATTTTATTTTCTGAAAATGAGCTTTAAGTGTTAATTGTCCCCAATACCTGCTATAGAATAAATTACTTTTTCTCCCCACCCACTTACCAACTTAAAAATCAAACATAACAAAACAAAAATCTCACTTCATTTGGGTTGGTTCAACCTCTTGGCTATTGTGAATAAGGGTATGCAAATATGAGTCTGGCTATTTTAACAAAAGAAAGTACCTTAAATGATAATGGAAAAAATATAGTAAAGATTAAAAGTACTTTATACTTCAATTTTAAATTTATAATGTCTTTATGTGTCATATGCTCTGTCTCTATTGGAAAAAAGTCATTTCATGAATAACTATATAGTTTGAACCTGTACATTTCAATACATTTCTAGTTTCGAAGGCTATACATATTTCAGAAGTCTGCATAGTAGTTTTAATTAGAAGAAATGAAAATGACCATAAACTTTACCAAAAAAACCAATATGTAAACATTTAGCTTAAAAACAAAAGGAAAATACTATAGAACTTTTCCATTCTTCACAGTAAAATATGGTAATCTTTGCAATTATCTACAAAACTCTGATTAATCAAAACACAAAGCGTTGTGTTCAAATATTATATAAACATAATGTTTCTTCAGAGTTCATTTAATGATTCCTTTTGGTTGACTTCTGCACCTCTTCATGCTTTTTTTCCCTCTTACCACCTTCTTCGAGTCCTGCTGAGAAAACAGGGAATCCTGTTGCTGGTGACCCAAGGTACACCTTGCTCATCATTTCCCACACAAGCATATTGAAATACGTGCTTGGGGCTGTGGGACTTTGGTGAGTAATTGTTGAATGGCTAGAGAAGACCTCTGCAAAGCCCTCTTTATCTGCCACACAACTTAGAGGAAAGACTTCAACTTGCCACCATCCTCATCTTTTTTTATCATTCTCAGTAATTGTTTGTATTAGTATTTCTGCCATTAACAGTTTTATGTGAAATTGTAAAAAAAATATGTAGTTGACCATCCCACTGTCATCAAATGCCAGGGGAAAGAAAGAATTAATGCCCTCATGGCCCAGTGAACCATATGGTATATATCTTATATCATAGGAGAAAAATCTCCAAACACTGGATATTCACTGGAGACAGAGAAAAGGCATCTTGCACCTGTTTCTGCTTCCATAGGAACTTATTGGACTATTTAAAAGGTCTTCAACTGAGTCTTCGAAGAAATGAAATGAAAACGAGTCCCTTTTATGAAATAGTTTTTTAAGACGTCTGGCTTACAGAATATGAAGCCATACTCAAAAGAATCATCAAAATTACTTCTGCCTTCATCATTTAATCCTTCTTTGCCATATTTATTTTAAATGTCCCATTTTTCATCACTTGATAATACCTTATATGCTTCAGCTACTTTTGAATTTTCTCTCGGCTTCTTTATTATCTGGGTTTTTATCAGGGTGCCCTTTAAGTGACACTTTATGATAAGCCTTTTTAATGTCCTCACGTGAAGGATATCTCCATACTTTTAATGTCCTCATGTGAAGGATATCTCCATAGTCCTAGGACTCCAATCCAGCATGTTTAACAAGTTGTTGGCAGGGGGTGCTCTGGGTGGTGAGAACCGTGTTTTCCTCTGCTCGTGCTCTGCCACTGCCGTGGCGCTGGTAGAGTGACTGCAGATAGGCACATTTTTCCATTGAAGACAGTGTCATTACTGTGGGCCGCTGCTAGGAGAGGAGAGGATACTGACTGTGTGGCAGAGTTACAAGCGTATGTCAGAGAGGGCTGCTTTGTGGCATCGTTCTGGGGTTGGGGTAGGGACCAGACCTTCCAAAGGGAGCTTGTCCAGAGTCGTTCCAGACCACCCTGAACAACCCTCAGGACTATTTCCCCTGTATTTCTCTGGGAGCCTCAAACAGCACCTCGTAAATCAGTGGGCCTGTTGTTCATGGCCACAGCATGCCACTTGCTTGATATGATCTCTAGGTTACTGAGCCTTAATAACTTACTTCCCAGTGGTTTCATGTTTTGGTTTGGAAAAGCGAAGAATTTGTGAACTACGTGAAGACAGTATCCAAGCAGTTGACATATTGTTTATTTCAGTCAAGAGATAAAAACAAACAACCCAGTTACAATACAATAGAGACTGATGGGGGGAGCGCCGGATGCTAAGCGATCATACGAGAGGCACCTGCCCCAGCACTGGGGTGTCAGGGAAGGCTCCCTGGGGAAGTAGCCTCCTGTAGTGGTAGCTTTCTGCGTGCCACTGGGGAGTCCTTGAGACGATGGTATCTTTGCCCACTTAAAGGTTACTACTAAAGAACGTGTATTTAAAGATTTTGGGAATTGTGTGTTTATAATGTGTATTCAGTATACAATTATTGAATGCCTACTTTGTGCAAGGCACAGTTTTAGCCACTGGTGGTGATAAGAGTATTGGACAAAACAATCCGGTTTTCATGGTGTTTACATGATCAAACAATTAAATAATTGGAGGTAATATAAAATAATTGGAGATAATATGATATGTGCTCCAAAAAAAGTGTGAAGGCAGAGAGTTACCTTAGATTCCGAGATTTAATGAGATAGCATGTGCATATTTTTCATACTTCACGTAATTCTCAATAAAAATGTTAATTTTTCTTTTTCTAAACTTGAGGACATAGCATTGCACTACCTCTGTGAAATAGTTTCTGACCTCTCCCCTGCTTTTGTTTGTTGCCTTCCTTCTCTTCCTGTGGCTCCTTATTTATACCTTAGTCGTACTATAGGCCTGTAGCATGCTGTAGAGCAGGGGTCCCCAGCCCCCAGGCCACAGTCAGTGGCCTGTTAGGAACCCAGCTGCACAGCAAGAGGTGAGCTTGGATGTAATGCACTTGAGTCATCCCCAAACCATCCCCTCCCGCCCCACTTCTGTGGAAAAATTGTCTTCCGTGGAACTGGTCACCAGTCCCTGGTGCCAAAAAGGAGCTACTCCTTTCGTAGACTAAAGTCACTAAGGGTAAAAACAAGATCATTTATGTATTCCTTGGGCATAGCATATGCTCCGGCTTTCACAGAGGAAGGGCCTTGTACCATAAATATTGAAGGTGATACTAATTTATATTTTTCTAAGGCATCCAAATACTGGATATAGATAAATGTACATATGCTGAGGACCTTCTTGATTCCTTGTTCCATTTCATCCTCTTTACTTTTTTTTTTTTAATTTTACTTTTGATTTTAGAGAGAAAGCAAGGGAGGGAGAAAGAGAGAGAGACATTAATGGGTTGCCTTCTGTATGCTCCCACCAGTGGACCAGACCTGCAACCAAGGCAGCCTTGCAGTTTGCAGGACGATGCCCAAGCACCTGAGCGACAGTGGCTGGGGCTCCTCGTCCTCTTTACTTTTAGATAAATGTACTGCGAAGACTTCTCAGTTCCTCATTCTATTTCATCCTCTCTGCTTTTCCTTCAGGATGCGTGTCCTGTTCACGACGAAGGTACTCCCTCCAGCCCGTCCCGAAGAGGAGGATTCCAAACCGATACCTGGGCCAGCCCAGCCCCTTTACACACCCTCACCTCCTCAGACCAGGTGAGGCCTTTGAACAGAAACTCTCCCTCTCCGGAAGCTTTACCCAGAGCTGCGATCTCCAGCAGAGTTTTTTGCAGCAGTGGAAATGCTCCAGATCTGTGCTGTTCAATACGGGAGCCACTAGCCACAAGTGACTGTTGTATACTTACTACATTGCTACACTTCATGTTGCTAGTGTAACAGAGGAGCTGAATTTGAAATTTTACTTTAAATGATTTAATAGCTACATGTGGCTACTGGTACTCTACTGACAGTACCATTTATAGTGATAAACACTATAAGCCTTACAATTCAGTACTTAGTACTTAGGAAAATTACGCACTTAGGATTTTTTCAGGAAAATTTCTATTAACTTTCTAAGACATAGTTTCTTCAGTTGTGTTCTAACTGCTGATTCCTTGTGAACTGAGTTAAAGACATTTTAGAAAACATGTTTTTCTTGAAAGTGTTAAATATTTACTTCACAGTTTTGTTGAACGAAATATTCCTATATAGATAATGCAAATTTCTAGAACTGATTGTCACAGCTTTGAGAAGTGATAGCAATGACAAAGGTGATGTAAAAATTGATGTTTAATTACCTCACCAATTTTTATACTTGATAAAACTGTACCTTCCTAATACTATTCTCTGCTGTAAGACTCCTGTGTTGCTGCTAGATGTGTCATCACTGTCCCCCAAATTCATGCCTAAAGATTTCTATTTTCATTTTGTTTTGTTAAAAAGGCAGTTAAGGGCCCTGACTGGGGTGGCTCAGTGGGTTGGGCGTCGTCCTATAGACTGAAAGGTCACCAGTTCGATTCCCAGTCAGCGCACATGCCTGGGTTGCGGGCCAGGTCCTCGGTTGGGGGCGTCTGAGAGGAAACCAGTCAATGTTTTCCTCCCTCTCTTTTCCCTGCCTTCTCCTGATTCTAAAAATAAATAAATAAAAGCTTTCCCAAAAAAAGACAGTTAAGGGGTGAACTATAGTGAATGATGAGTATCATCCCAAAGAGGTAGGTAGAGTAAAACCAAACGCTTTGTAGAAAAAGCAGCCAAGTTTTCAAGTGAAATTAATCATTGCTTCCGCCATGAGAAGTTAAATCTGTATTTCTGTGTAAGCATATATTATCATCTAGACTGCCACTAGAAATATGTTACTCTTTCACTGTCTCCACTCAGTGAACGATACCCATGTGTCTCTCAGTGAGGGCTTCCTTTGCTGATTCTTCATCAGACTGGAATTCCTGCTGGAAAGTCGGCTGAGACGCAGGAAATGCAGCTCACCGCTGAAACACACAAGAATATCAGAGTTTTTCAAAGCTGTAAGGTAAGCTTTATAGCAACCCAGTTGATACAAATTTAAGTATTTCTCTACCCTGTCAACCTACCTGTAGTTTCCATCTTTTTTTTTTTTAAGTAGAATTGATATTTTTACCAGCTTTGAAAATTATTGATCTCTTGTGATGAGATGCTTTTACACGGTGAGCTGCATTTTCCAGGCCTTGAAACTAATAATCGTATTGTCAAAATGGTGGCCGCTGGATGTAGACTGTTTGCTGTGTATGTTATGTACATGTTAGTAATATTAAAAATGAATGTAACTTAATATACACAAATACATGTTCATACACATACATGCGTTCATGTCTGCTATGGGGGATAAGGATGCCTGTCCTGATTTTTACTCTCCTGCATGTTGGATTTGGACACTGGAGTAGGTGAGAAGGGAACGAAGAAGATAAAGTCTTAAAACAGAATTTTCAGTGTTAAAGAAACTACCAGGTATACAGTTTTTGGAAACAAATTAATCATTTGTCTTTCTCCATGTAGAGGTGCAAAACATACGCAAGTATTGAAATGTAGGGTGAAGGAAGAGTAAATTATTAAGAAAAATTAAAAGCCATGTAATAAAAGTTCTGGGTATATTATAGAAAAATTAGAGACTAGAGATAAGCATACTTTTTTTTTAATCCTCACCTGAGAATATGTTTATTGACCTGGGTGGGGGGGGAGGGGAGAGGGAGAGAGAAATCGATGTGAGAGAGAAATATCAGTCAGTTGCTTCCTGTACACATCCCAACTGGGGGTCAGTCCCGCAACCTGGGTATCTGCCCTGACCAGGAATTGAACTTGTAACCTTCTGGTGTACAGGACGATGCTCCAACTGTTGAGCCACACAGTCAGGAAGATAAGCATAAATTTTCTTTAAATTACTCATAATCCACCCACTCAGAGAATACCACTATTGAGATTTTTGTATATGTATCTTTCTAGACATTTCTTATATAAGAAGTGTGTGTGTGTGTGTGTGTGTACACACAGAATGTCCACGTCCCCATACACTTGGTACTTAAATCCATTCACATCTTCATCATCACCACCATCAAACATGGCCTGAATGATGACTTGACATTTATTTAGCCATTTCCAAACACTTTTTTATAGATTACACTTAATAGGCAGACAAGTAGCCTAAAAAGGTTTTGTATTCTACAGTTTTTAAATTTAACATCAAGGCCTGCCTGTTTTTATAAATTAATGTATCTTTTTTTCTCACTCCCTGTGTATCGATGGAATTTAAAAAATAACTATATATTCATGTGTTTTTTAAATTTTTTTAATTTTAATTGTTGTTCAAGTACAGTTTTCTGCCTTTTACTCCCATCCCAGCCCACCCCCCATATATTCATGTTGTTTATACATTTTTCTCATCTTTATCTTCTGAATTAGATTTTAATGCAGAGTAAAGACTGAAGCCTTTATGTATATAAGTTGATAGGTGACTAAACCTGTATATTTAACCTGTATGTGTGATACATGTTGACTACTCATTTCAAAGCACCATCATACTGATGACTAGCTTATAGAACATCCATAAACTGTTGTCCATCTAGTACAGAGTTATAGTGTATTCTTTTCTTTTTCTTTTTTTTCTTTTTTCTTGTATTCTTTTATTTTTTAGTACTGGGAGAATAAGAACATTTTGCAGTATAATAAATTTCATAGAGGTGATATGTTACAGAATTGTACACCTGAAACCTATATAATTTTATTAACCAATGTCAGCTCAATAAATTCAGTTTTTAAAAAAGGAAATGAAAAGTGATAACACTGAAAATAAAAGTCAAGTTGAATTAAACAGTTTTCATGTGGTTTAAATACTGGTACATTAAAAATAAATGACTCTTCTATTTTTCTCTTTAACCTTTGTGCATATTTCTCGTTCATATTGCCAAATTCTCTGAGGTAAAGGTTAACCCCAGACAAGAATCAGGAATCTTCTAAAGAATTGACTGTTAAGGCTCCTGAATCACTTGGAACTCATGTGTTGTGTGGAGAAGCCAAGGACGTCAGGACGTCTGTGTAAATAGTTACTCTGATAGGAATAGCGGTTGTCCCTGTACATTTGACCCTTCCAAGGACCTACCGGGCTTTAGATTACCAGGATGACCACCTCCTCAAGTGCAAATATTTGGTAATGGTTATAACTGATAACTATATTGTCATTATTTTTCTAAACATTTTATTGTTAATTTATTTAATCCTCCTGACAACTTTGTGAAGCAGGTGCTATTATTGCCTCCAGTTTAAAGGTGAGGAAACTGGGGCACAGAGCAGATTGGCGGCTCTCCCCAAGTCAGTTGTCAGGCCAGGATTTCAGCTCACCGAGTTCTGGCTCGGAGTCCACGTTTAACCACAAAACCATATAGAACACCTGTGCCAAAGAATAGTATCCGGAAACATTTTAAAAGTCTCTTTTTGTTATAGTATTTTTTTACATACTAATTTTATTTATTTTCTTTTTCTTTTTTTAATATAGTTTATTGATTATGCTGTTACAGTTGTCCCATTTCCCCCCTTCACTCCCTGCACACCCTCTCCCACGCACATTCCCCCCCTTTAGTACTTGTAAGTTCTTTAGCCTCTGCATTTCCCATACTGTTCTTACCCTCCCCCTATTTGCTGCCTACCATCTGTGCTACTTATTCTCTGTACCTTTTCCCCCTCTCTCCTCCTCCCACTCCCCCGTTGCTAACCCTCCATGTGATCTCCATTTCTATGGTTCTGTTCCTATTCTAGTTGTTTGCCTGTTTGTGGGGTTTTTTGTTTGTTTTAGGTATGGTTGTTAATAATTGTGAGTTTGCTGTCATTTTACTATACATGTTTTTTATCTTCTTTTTCTTAGATAAGTCCCTTTAACATTTCATGTAATAAGGGCTTGGTGATGCTGAACTCCTTTAACTTGACCTTATCTGAGAAGCACTTGATCTGCCCTTCCATTCTAAATGAAAGCTTTGCTGGATAGAGCAATCTTGGATGGAGGTCCTTGCCTTTCATGACTTGGAATCCTTCTTTCCAGCCCCTTCTTTCCTACAAGGTCTCTTTTGAGAAATTAGCTGACAGTCTGATGGGAACTCCTTTTTGTAGGTAACTCTCTCCTTATCTCTTGCTGCTTCTAGGATTCTCTCCTTCATTTTAATCTTGGCTAATGTAATTATGATGTGCCTTGGTGTGTTCCTCCTTGGGTCCAACTTCTTTGGGACTCTCTGAGCTTCTTGGACTCCTGGAAGTCTATTTCCTTTGCCAGATTGGGGAAGTTCTCCTTTATTATTTGTTCACATAACTTTTCCACTTGTTGCTCCTCCTCTTCTCCTTGGTACCCCTATAATTCAGATGTTGGAATGTTTGAAGATGTCCTGGAGATTCCTAGGCTTCTCCTCATTTTTTTGAATTCTTGTTTCTGCCATCTTCTGTTTGGTTGTTTCTTTCTTCCTTCTGGTCCACTCTATTGATTCGAGTTCCAATTTCCTTCCCATCACTATGGGTTCCCTGTGCATTTTCCTTCATTTCACTTAGTGTAGCCTTCATTTTTTCATCTAATTTGCAAACAAATTCAACCAATTCTGTGAGCATCCTGATCACCAGTGCTTTGATAGGTTGAACTGTGCATCTGATAGGTTGGCTATCTCTTGGTCACTTAGTTGTATTATTTCTGGGGCTTTGATCTGTTCTTTCGTTTGGGCCTTTTTTTTTTTTTTTTTTTGACTTTATGCGCTGGTTGTGTAGTGAGGGGCGGAGCCTTAGGTGTTCACCAGGGCAGGGTAGCCCACATCACTGGGTTGTGACACTGTATGTAGGGGAGGGGTCCGTGGTGCTTGCTTCGCTCTCTGTTGGATTTCCATCCCTTCACTTCCCCCAAGCAAACTGGGCCCTTCTGGTGCTGATTCCGAGGTGGGTGAGCTTGTGTACGTTCTGGGACCCTGTGGGTCTCTCCAGCGAACTCTCCCGTGAGGCTGGGAGTCTCTCCCGGCACCTCAGCCCCCACAGGTGTTCTCAATCAGTGTTTCAAGGCCTTATTTCCCTGTGCTGGGACCCTGGGTTGCAAGGTCTGTCTTGCTCCCCAGTTTCGCCTGTTTTATCTGCATGTGAATGTGGGACCACCCGGTCTGCCCGCCGCCTTGTGCGCTTCGCCCCTCCACAGTCCGCCACCTCACTGGGTCTGCCCGCCGCCACCCCACGCCCGGGGTCCACCAGCCAGCTTGCTGCCACCCCTCTTCACCCCTCTCCACCCTGCCGCCCGACTCCGCCCCTCCTACCCATCTGGATGAATGTGTCTTCTTTAACTCCTTGGTTGTCGGACTTTCATACAGTTCAATTTTCTGTCAATACTGGTTGGTTTTTTGTTTCTAAATTTTTGTCCTTATTTTGGTTGTGCGAAGAGGTACAGTGTGTCTACCGACGCCTCCATCTTGGCCAGAGTGTTATAGTATTTTTGATAAAAATTTCAACTGAGAGAAATCTTAATGTAAAAGTTCTTCAAAGTTTAGAAAGTGATATACTTTGTTTTGATGTGGTAAAATTTATATACAGTGAAGTACACAGACCTTTTACACCAATATAACCCACACCCAGTCAAGACATAGAACATTTTCATCACCCCATAAAGCTCCCTCATGCCCCCTCCCTCCGTTCAGTCCCCACTTCCACCCTCAACCCCTGCTTTGGTTTTTACCAACGTGGATCGTTTTGCTTGTACTTAAATTTCATGTAAGTGGAATCATATAATATGTACCCTTCCTGTCTTGCTTGTTTTTCTCAACATATTCAAATAAAACCTATTTAGATTATTTTTAATTATCTATTTGGTTATTTGATATTTTCAGAGAGGTCTGTGCTTTATTTCATTAAGGAAATCTTTATTGGCTTTTTCTTTACCCCCATTCTCCAGCTATACAGTAGGTTAGTTTATGAACTATTTCTTTATATATAATAAAAACTACCTAATATTAAAAATAATTATTTTCAAGAATGCTGCTTCAGAATCAG